ATAGCTGCCGATCAACGTATTTGTTTTGCGTGATCGCAATGAAATAATCATTCATCGGAAGTCGCCGATGTATCAAGCTGATTAGCCTCAACCTTAAAGATAATGACGTGACCTTTTGAAAGAGTCATGGCTAATTTGGAATGGTGGGTTTGTTATCGATTCTGGTTTCGTGATTTCTTTCAAGACACCTCACACCACAAGATTGCACACGTGCAAATAACTTCCCTTTCAGGTCAAAGTTTACGACAACACTTTTATTCCTCGCACGCTAGGTTGTGTAAGGCAGATAGGAGGAAATATGAATGGACGCTTGTCTTCGTGCGCACTGAGCGGATACAACTTTTCTACGCCAAATACAGACTTACTACAGGACGATTGGTTCCCAATGTACGGTAAGGACTTAAAATGACCTGTATTGGGTGGTCTTGTTACCTTGCATGTCTATATGTCGCTTGTAACCATGTAATATCTTTGATATTTCTCAACCTGGATAATCTTTCCTCAGAAATGCTTGAAGCGCACTAAGTGGGTTTAGGGATAAGCCAATTTTTGTTTAGTTCCAGTGCTATAAATATGTAGACTCCCGGTCTCTTTATATAGCTGTAAACTGGCTTGACGTTAAAAACGGACGTGGAAAAATGACCAAAATAAGAAGAACAGTTTATTAAGTTTCATAATTGTCTGTTGCATGACACGGAACAGCCTGCTCCCAAGTTTATTATAGATCTGTCCGAGTCTGTCCGAGTGTACACAGTCTGTTTAAAGACCCCAAAGCGCTTTGAGCTTTTAGGCTTATCGACTTCCTCTACTTCCCACTAAGGGCTCGAATATTTTATCTGATTTTAACTTCGCCAAATCCTGTCAAATTCCTGTTGCTCGCTCTGGGCAGGTGCAGCAGGCTTCTACAGGTAAATATCTCCGTGCAAATATCATTCGTGCTTAGACATTGTGGAACATTATTAGCCGCCGATGAGCAGACATTACAATCCACGGCAGTTATAAAAAAATTATAATCTTCGCCTGGTCGGTAGATACGGCTTTAACCCGAACGTATGTCACGGAATACCGTTATTTGAAGACTGGCTTAACTCTTGTCGGCTTAGAATTATCCTGCCAGCTAAGCCACAAATAGTGGTATAATCCCCTCATCAACATTAGGGGCAACGGTTCTGATTGTTTCCAAATCTTGATCACGTCCTATAAATACTGTGCTCCACTCAAAGCACTCTGTCTCGTGAAGTGAAAGGCATCATCATCAGATATCTACTTTGTTGCAACACTATGGAGTTCGCCTGGCCTGCATTTTCCGTTCCAACCTGTTTGGGTTGTCCTCAGTGTCTAATGTCAAGGCTAATGGAAGGTATAAAAAACTTGAGATCGTACATATATGAACTAAGTTTTATTATTCTTCCTTCTCATACAATCTCCTCGATTTTGGTGACGGTTACCACTCAACGGTCGTGCTCCAGCTGGGCGAGAGAAATGTTCCCATCTTTACACAAGAAAACCTAATGTATACCTTACTTAAACTTTAGTGCGTAAGTTAAGCGGTTAAAATTAGTTCAAGGATGTTCGTGGACAAACGAACAGTCCAAGTAGAATTTCATATCCGCCTCGGACCAAGGCAGTTCATAGAGCACTTGGATGACTCTATTTGGGTAAGATGGATAGAATTGATGGAAATGAAACATTCAATTTCCACAGTGTTTAAATGAAAACTTGTTCTCAATTCCAAAAGTTTAAAACATAAATTTTAGCTGTAAATCAGCGTTGCAGTGTACACATGATAAAGAGAAAGAAGCTCGTTCAGGGGTTTTGTAAACGAGGCAAAGCCTAAAAACTTTAACTTTTCTATTGCTGTATTAATTTTTTTTTGTTTTTTAACAGGACCACCACGAAAGCAGCGGAGGGAGCGGACAACTTTCACAAAGTCTCAATTAGAAGTTTTAGATGAGCTGTTCGCCAAAACAAAGTATCCTGACATCTTCATGAGAGAGGAAGTGGCCATGAAAATAAACCTCCCTGAGAGCAGGGTGCAGGTAAATAACAGTCGTATTCATCATATAAAACCTTGGCCAACAGAAAATAACAAAACAGATCTTCTCCCCTTGAATATCAGCGAAGTCAATTTTGGTTGAAGAGATTTAACCTTTAGAATTGGGTTACAGTCTGTTCGAAAGGGTTGGGTGTGCGGGAAAGAGTTTAAACAAATATTTCGAAACATTTCAGACCAGTTTTTCTGATACATAGCAATATGTATATCTTTTGAGATTTTGTCATCGTTAAAGCCACAATCATGGTTGCATATACACCATGGCACATTCCAAATGTTCAATCCCGAATGGGATGGACGAATCTACAACTTTTTATGGGCAATATTTTTTATGTGACATTTCCTCACTCCAGGTTTCATATTCCTCTTTGGGAATATGAACAAGCAGCCAGAGAATATCAGAGGTCATTGGCTAAATGCTATTATCAACAAATCCTAATATGATATTTAAAATGTTTACTTTAGAAAAAATTCGAAAATTGCACTGAGTGGTAATTGGAGTTTCGTCATAATAGAATTTTGAAAAAGTCCATCACCTGCGGCGTCTAATTTCCACAAACAGATAATCTTTTGCCAGATGCAACAATATAAATCAAAGGCAAAAAACCTCTTGTTCCTCCCCTCCCTTACGTCCATTCTTGTGTGTGAAGATGACGGATATGACCACAAATTACCGTAACTTGTTGTCAAAGGCGTAACTCTATCAACAAAACAAACCAGATCAGACAGAACGGTTTTGGTAAATGCCTTCAATTAATTAACGGCTAATTTTCCATAGCTTAACCCTTGGTTAGATAATTACTATAAGCTTACTAAATAGAGGTGTAATCTTATCAGAGAATGTCACCAGCGGCGACAGATGAGGTGGCCCCATTCGGGCTATGGACACAATGTGCACGAAACTTGTTTTCTAGAAAAAGTTCGGCATCTAAAATATTGTGATGGCGCCTAAATAAATAGTAAAGATAGTTTAGCCATAATGTTTAGTATTTTATTACTGTAATGGTCTTATAATAGAATAAAAGCAAATATTTCGATAGCGTGATTTAGTTTGTTTGTATTCTTGCCCTTTGAGAAGTAGATGTCGCACGAATGATAATTTCACGCGATTACAGGTTTAGATGTTGCAATAACCCGTGTTTAATGTTCTTTCTCTCCCCTACCCTCTCTGTAGTCTAATGAGCGTTGCTTTAAGGATAAGTTTCTTTGTAGTTTTAACACAAAGCTAAAAAAAAGATGTTTACCTCAGTAAAAAACGAAAAAGTTCTATGCTTTCCTAATTTAAGAGAATACTGAACTTTCTTTCTGTTTATTCACAGGTTTGGTTCAAAAATAAACGAGCCAAATGTCGCCAGCAAAACAAACAGTCAGCGGGATCCCAAAGCAAACCAGGTACGCTGAAGAGAAAAATTCCCTCTCCACCCTTGCAAGATCCAGTCAAGCCGGCAAAGAGAAACACGCCTCCGTCGCAATCGGATCAATCAGTCAAAAAGTTGTCTCATGATTCGGTCGATTCGTGGCCGCAACAAAGCATGAATACAGTGGATCAGAACATGAAAACAATGTTAAAAATTCAGAGGAGTGGGCTATACCCGCCCTCAACTGCAGTCAATGGCCACAGGGCCGCATCGTCACCAAGTACGCTGCCGTCGCAGTTTTATCCAATCCACAAACCAGATTTTCCGCCGTATGCAAAAAACATACAAATGGCTAACTGGATGGCCATCAACCATACTGTAAAACCTGGTTATTTTGCACCTGCAATGATATGATTTGTAGCCCATTATTTCACAAAGAACAAAGTAAAAACAATATTTATTTACTACAGTTATTCTAAATTGATAAATTGTGCAGGAACATTCAGAACATTAACTACGACAATGTAAGTAGACGCTCTTCATTGTGTTAGTGTGACAACTGAAGACTGAAGACTCAAATGGACGGGACCGCAATGTAACGAACTTATAGATCCTGATTTAAAACTCAGTCTTATATTTCGACTATTGTTATATAGCCCAATCTGGAAAAAGCCAGTGTACATGTTATGTTGCGTAGTTGTTTTCTGAGTTATGGTCTAGATATTAAGAGTGATTACTAATAAAGAATTTTTACTAGTATTTGTAAATATTCGTATGTACCTCAAATAAGAAAGATATGCTTAAGACTATGGACTGACATCGAAGATCATTTTGGGCGTAAATAGGATAAATTGAATTCTCCAGTGGCGTATGAAAATAATCATAATAAATAATCATAAGAATAACCCAATGGTAAAGTTCTTTTTTTAACGGAATCATTCGTTTCTAGGACTAATTGCATAATCTGAATCTTCTTGAACGTTCGAAACTAAATACTTTGCATACTAAACCATTACAAGTGGTAACGGAAAGATCACTTTCTTACTTCTTGAACATATTTGCACTGAATAACTCCAGCAAACACTGATCATGAAAAATTCGATAGATTGCGCAAAAAAAATCGTATGATATAATGTATTTCCCGAGTTCTAGTCGGTTTACAGGCCGCAGAATCTGGGCTCATATACCTTAGATCATAAACATTGAAACAAAAAAAGCATTTACAGATATTTATCTGATGTTTTCATGAAAAAGAAATGATTCAAATAGCGCTTCTTTTTTTCCAGGTGTTTCCTTTTTTTTGTCCTTTACACTCACTTTTTTTTCATTCTTATAATCATCATAATTTTTATCATCATTGGACTCCTTTCTTTTCTCACGTATGCATAATTATCAAACACATCTTTTAGGCTGTCCAAAACTGAACTACTTCGCCACGCTCTGCGCATGTCTTTATTCAAGAAAAAGGTTCAAAGGAAGAGCGCAATATCTCCGTCTGGAAGGGAGGAGAGTTAGTAAGATGTGATACGTGTATTAAAGCCATGTACACTGGGAAAAATGACCGTGTTGAAAAGCACTCGCTGTGATGAGCCAAAATGTAATAGACCTATGCCATTTGATATTCAATCTCCAACCGCAAAACTCATGATCCTAAATGTTTTGTTAGCAGAAAAAATTTGCCGAGTCATGTTGAGTTGAAGAGGAAGTGTGTGATTAAGACTTCCTGAGAAAACCGAACGTGCATTCGAGAGAATTCATTTTCCTGTTGAATGGTTCCACAACAAAGAGTTCAACTCATCAATGATAAAGGCTTGAAGACATCCAAGTTCCTGAAACAACAAACATAAGAATCTTCCCTGTGTAAATCGAGGTGATGTACCGAGTAATTTGTATAAAGAGTGATGGTAATTTTAAACTCAGGAAAAACTTTTGTTTCAGAGTCACGTCCTTCTTTAGCTTACAATTATGTCAAGTTAATTGCAGAAACTTTGCCACTGTTAACGTTCCAACAGTACTTTATCCACGAGCAAAACACCTCTTAATCCGATTTGTAAGTCATACGGTATACTTTTTGAGATGAAATTTGTATCTTTAAATTGTTGATGATAACGATAGCTTGTTATTTTTATATCTTGTCTGTCTATATCGGCTCGAATTCCACATTAGTTTAATTGGAAAATTTAAAACAATGGTCTTCGAGCGAAAACTTCTCTCACTAATCCTATGACAAGTGTCTGTGAAGTAGGAAACTATAAGTATGTTAATTTTCAGAGTCATCGTTTAGTTGAAGACCACGAATTCTAAAGACAGAGATAATAGCAATGATGTACAATGTCAATAATTTCTTTAAAAAAAACGAAAAGGTCACAATTCAAAACAATGGTCTCTGATATTTCGGTGTTCTTTTCACTCAAAAATTTTTTTTCCCTTACTGAATCTGTATCAATTGACTTCTTGAAGACAGACACAGAAAAGTTGATTGTTAACTCGTGACTCAATGACCAAGCTTCAAATTCTTGATCAAGATATTCTTTCCACTTTCATGAACCATGACGAAGTAAGGTTCATTAACTATTGCTGATGAATCGAACGTGGCCGGATAAATAAATATAATCTATTTATCTATCTATGAAAACGTAGGAAAAGAACGGCTACTGAAGATAAGATTGATTGATTGCAAAAAATTCAAAAGATAAATTTAAAAAATTGGCTATGTTTGTTTGAACCCTTTTAATATATGTGTTGCGATGCCATTGCTGCAAAAACTTTCGAGGAAATGTTTTTATTGAACAAAAAAAATGATACCTGTAGGTAAGGAAGTTCGATATATGCAGAGTTGCTACAAGTAATTTGAATTTGTAGTTTTCAGGGCTTTTTTAAATTTTTGAATACTCAACGTTGGCAATTCTCCCAACAAAGTTTAACTCAAAGCAAAGGATTTGTTTATTTGTGCCAGCTATACACACGTGATGATATAGCTAACAAGTCGGCATGCGAGCTATTATCATCTGTATTCCTACGTTGAGTGAGCAGAATTTCACCCGCAGAAAAGCCTCCCACCTGTTAAATTGAATTTAACGGTTTTTTTTTCAGTGTCCAAGAGTGATTTTTAAGAAAAATCATTACTTCCCTATTGATATTGTTTAATGTTTTCTGGTTCTACAGTTTCCTTCAGAGCTCCTATTCAGTACTCTTCTTTGTAATTTATATGATGCCTTCAATCTTCAGTCGTATAATTAAAAATAACACACAAAAATATATCTCAAACATTCATTACAGTGGGAGACATTTGCCTTCAGGGTTAAAGTACAAGGTTATCAAATGTCCTAAGAAATTTGCAGCTCGTAACTGGTCAATTTTATGAACACGTCGAGTATGCTTTATACGGAAGATGATTTCACCAAACATGTACAGGCGCACAAGAATCACGAGGCCTTTGATAAGGAGTATTGTTCTTTGTTTATTGTTTTTTAAGCCCTTGAGAATACCTTGAGACTTTCGCGTGCCTCTAGAACTTAAACTAACATGCTCCCTTGAGTGACCAGGAAAGAATTTCTCCATACAATATCAATACAATATCAAGCAGACAAGCGATGAGAACAAAGACAAATATCAATTAAGGGATTATTAGTTGATCCAATACCAAATTCTTCGAACTAACATCATAAGAATTGTATGGCAGACAGTAAGGAAAGGGTTAATGGTGTCTTTTTAAAGGTTCGTTGTCGTTAATCGAATATTCTGTGGCTTCTATGTGTGTGGCGGACGGTAATAACAATGAAAATAAAATTATATCAGATGTCAAAATATTACTCTTTTAATGGAGTAATGTGTTGTGGCTTGTTTTCTCCTGTCCAAGAGTGTAGAGCGAGTCACTTTGAGATCATAATCAGTGAATAACTGAATCATAGCCGATAAATTATCACACAAAACATGCAAAAACACTGTAGTCTCGTGGCTTGATAAAGCTGGTAGCCACAGGGTAAATATATAAACTGATGAGTATTTTTCATTTTGGAGGCGTCGGTTAATGTCAGTCATTTGTTACAATATCCCTTCTCGTCTTCTTCTTAGACAAACAGACTTATTTGCGTCCGATCTTAGATATGTCCTTCCGATAAACCGTCGATTAGGTCCGGGGGCACTCCTAGAGATTCTTCGTAAGGGTGAGTTGCCTGGTTCCCTTGAAAACGACATCCGATATAAGACCATGATAGTCAAAATCTCAACCATACCCTTTGGACGGCGTACACCTGTGTAACCTATGTAGCCTCATTCCTCCCCCCTCCCCCGTTCGAACTTTGATCAAAATACCAACTCTATCACTATGAACTCCCTGAAATGTGACGATTATTTCGGCGTCCACTTTATGGGTAGACATTTAGGCTGTCTGATATAACTGTTCAACGTTAAAATTAAAATATTTAGTCTCGAATAAGGAGATGATCTCGGAAATAGCATGGAAAATTTTATCCCTCACACTTCAGCACGATGTATTTTTCCGGCTGAAGAAACTTGGATGTTTCCAATTTCATTAATCAGTTTTTTGTGCAAATCAACGCGCACTTATCACCGTGCAACAGCCTTCTTTTATTAAATCGTCCATAGTTATCTAACTTACTACCCACAGCTGAAAATTCCACTAGATTTTTAGACCAAACAAAGTTTTGTTTTTCTCAAAAACAATTATCAAGACAGAGGCTACAGATGGGTTATCAGTGCCTCAGGGAATACACTACAATAATAACATATGATATTCCTGGCTGAAACTTGAGAGAAGGGAACTTTTTTTTGTTTCGGTCAGAAATATAGAGTTCATCACTGTCAGAACTCACGTCCGTCTTTCTATACCTGTTTCTAACCGTTCTGAATCTTTTTGGCGTTGCCAACACAGAGAGAAATCGGCGACGAAAATCAGCTCAGATTCTTGTTTGTTTCGCTAACTGGACAGAAAGGAAAGGAAGTGACAACAGAATTAATATTTCTAAGGCAAGATAATGTAAATAGACATATTTTTTTATCGAATATAATGGCACAAAAAAAACTTTTTTTTATTTCGTAACATTAGGCCAGAATTTACTGATCAGCAACCGAACATTTTACGTCACTGAACCCTTGAACTTAAGCTCAGTTCTGGACTAAAGCCAACAAATATTTTAAGCCAATTATAGTTGTATCTAAAGTTTTCTATCATCCGTTAGGTTCTTTCTGAGACAAACAGGAAAACTGAACGAAAGTCACAGAAATGGCAGGCCCGTATGGACGTCTTCCGCCTGGTACAGCAAATCTTACACTGATGCATGGCTTTGGTTTTAACTCGTTCAATATGGATTTTGTCAAGCTCGAGACACTCAAATACGAAGGTACATTATATTAACCTCTCAGGTCAATATGCTTTACATTTGTAAGTGAATTTCCGATCTAACTCACACATCGAGCAGATTCACGCTATTAAAAGCGAAACTAGACATACAAAATAACAGTCTGGTACAGTTCACATCAAAGCGTTTTCGTTCCCTACTACCTTGATGTAGTTTCTGTTTCGCGAAGTTTCACGAGAAGGGAAAGTTTTGCGCTTTCGTGTGTTAAAATCATTTTTGTACAACGCTGAAGTGTAAGCCTCTACTAAGAAGGAAACTGCTAATCTTAACCGAACACAATGTTCATAAAAAGCTATTTACACTATTCTGTTAAGGTACAATCCCTCGATGCTCTTTCTCTGAGTACCTGACTAGCCAGAGAGGCGCATTTTTCAAGTCAAACCTTCCGTTTTGCTGTAATCTGCTCGGTTTAGCACATTTTTTATTAAATAATCTTTCCCCTAACTCGGTTACACTTGGTTTTTTTTTAAGAATCCTTCTTCCCTTTGAAAGTTTTGGCATTCCAAGAAGATCCCCTCCCAGTTGTCTCCATAGCAACGAAATTCACTTGGCACGTGCTTCCTGTTTTGAGTGTCGGTAACAGAGTCAGTAGATTCTCTCGTGACTTTGAGCGATTTTTTGATTGCCCTATTTAACATTACCAGTAGATTGTTCATTAATCGAGTTAAAGTAAAGTGTCCCTCAAACCTCAAAGACTCGAGAATTATCTTTTTAAAGCAAATATAAGTTAAGGTAGTAATCCCATAAATTAGAGAGCTGTGCGACCAAAAGCGCATGAAAAGTAATATCACGAGATGTGTAAAAAGGTCTCAGGGTGAAACTATTCTCACAAATCCTTAAATTTAAAGCAACAAATTGCTGAGACTAGAAGCACTTTGCCACTCACCCTTTAGCAGCGTGAGGATCGACATCCTCATTTTTGACTGGTTATGGCGCTTAATTGGATGAGTTGCCCACCTTACTGGGGCTGTTTTCACTGTTTAGCATCAAGACCATTCATTGAAGGTACATAGAATATCATCGTGTTTTTTTTGGTCAACTGTTTCCAGAATGAACTAAGATTTTTTTTTTCAAGCACGGATCTCTTTGTTCGGCAATTTACGTGCAAGCATTTGATCGACTACAAAGCAAGAAGCAGGGTTTGATTGTATCAGTTACGTAAACACAACGGAAAAGTAGTTTGAGCAAATGTGTTGCTTTTGCCAGGAAGGCTTCAGCCTAATTTATGCTAACTAGGGATTTTTCTTGTTCAAATGTTCGCAAAACCTTAAGTTGTGAGACTCCACTTTTCAAATTGACAGCGTCTTTTCTCCAATTACTCTGATCGTTTAATATTATGAAAGGAATGGGTTCGGCTCGTTACAGTGGACTAATCAGGGATAATGGCAGATTATGATTATCAATAATGGGGCTGTGAACCTACTCTCAGAGATTTTCATCAATTTTCTTTGGCCACAAATGACAGAACTTGTTTAAAATCTAAACTTAAAAAAATCTGGTAGAGAAAAAAGAGAAACTGTACGTCGTTTAGCTTGACCAGCAGAATCTTCAAGAGAATTGAAAAATATTGGTGTATAACGACAATTTTATTGCTGAGCCTCAAGTATTACAATGCACAGCTTTATAAAAGACATCTTCTATTGCCAAAGCATGTTTCAATCCAGGTTATTTTATGCATTGAAAGAAGGCCCACTTGTATACTCCATCTTCACTTACACTTATTTTCTTATCGTTAAGAACATAAGGTGCTCACATTACGATCATATTTGGTGTTGCTAGCATCCACGCTTCTTTTCTCTGACTCTCAGGAATAATTGATGAGTCGTTTTTTCTGTTTGTTTTTTTTTTTGCAATATCGGGGTGTGTCGTGCAGAATGGTAATAAGGATACTGGAAGCAAGAGGATATCATTGTAACATCTTGGAACTAAAAGTATAAAAAAAACCTCAGCCATTTTGCTATGAACCTCTGTATGATACCGAACTGTGGTCCAGGTGTGTGGGCCTCAATAGTTTAAGTCTCCCGGTTGAATATCCATACACAATTCTCAATTCCTTAACAATTGTTAAATACTGTTTATACAAATAAATATTTCTGAACTCTCTTAGTCAACATTTCTTTTTCGACCCCTATTTTTTTTCAGGTCCTCCAAGAAAGCAACGCAGGGAGCGAACGACTTTTACTAAAGCTCAACTTGAAATCCTAGAGGATCTCTTCAGCAAAACAAAATACCCTGATATCTTCATGAGAGAAGACGTCGCCACGAAAATCAATCTGCCAGAGAGCAGAGTACAGGTAGGAAAACTTGTTTCAGTTTGTTGTATGTTTTTTGTTTTTTCCCGGTCGGATTTGACTCAGGTACCGCAGCCGGGAAGGAACTGACTTTGAATATAACAAAGGCAAAAAAAGCAAAATCTCTTCTTAATATGCCAACCACAGTTTGTGTTTGTCAGTTAAATCGCTTTCTTCTTTTTTGATACCCAGAATGCCCATCAGTCTTGCATTTGACCTTTGCTTGTTTGTTTGCCTATGTTGTTGTTTTCCAACTTATTTTTGGTAATTAATTATACAAATTCTGTCAACTTTGATTCCTGTAGCGCACCTTTATTTTACTAGTTAAGTCTTCCTAACCTTGGAATCAAACTTATTTACTCTATTAAAAAGTAAATAAATGAAAAAAACGAAAACTTACAACCAATCGTCATAAACACATCATTGTTGCTCTGCTCAAATCTAACAATTGAGGGATTGAAGCTATCATTGAAGTAGGCTCTGCTCCATATGGGGCATCCAATTAAACTTACGCAAACGATTTTTTAATCCAGCATTAATCCTTTTCTTTCTTTATTAGCTTAGTCTATGAGCTGCTAAGAAGTGTAGTATGCGATAATGGTATTATACGATGGCGCAAAACTGGCTCTCTCGTCAGCACGCGAGCCCACTAGCTTAATACATAATTTGCAAAAAACATCCCTTGGTACCTCGATAATCGCGTTGTTACATTAGGGTAAAATAATCTGAAATCGAAATGTACTTTGAACCTTGATTAGTCACAGTTTTGCTAGAATCGCATGCGAGTAAATTAATTTTCCGTGAGTCATGAGAAGTTTTAATGGACTTCCTGATCTTTCGAGTACATTCCGGATACTTGAAACCTCGGTCACGCGATCAAATTTGATTGGTCAATTGAAAATGGAATGGCTCTTGAATTTTCAGCGCCTTGTGGCGTTGTCTCACCTCGTTGAACCGTTATTGCTGCACATGAAACCATCTAGTGATATATCGGATAATATTTTATTGCAGTTGCACTTTACTTTTCATCTTATGATTTTGCCGTCTCATAATAGAGATTTAATTACTACAGTACTTTACCTGAATGAACAACCGAGCAACCCCTTTTTGATGCAACTCTGAATTTTTACTACCTTCATCACCAGCCACATAATTTCCATCCCACTTATCAAAGAACTGAGTATTGTTTACAATTACTTTTGTGACTTAGAAGCCTTTATCACAAGTAAATTGTTCCTTTTGTTTTATAAGATAGTATCGATTCCTTCTCGCCTCTTTCAGGTCTGGTTTAAAAACAAGCGCGCCAAGTATCGTCAACTGAAGAAACAACAACAAGAAATGCAAAACAAACCAGACCAGCTCAAAGTCAAACCATGCTCCTCATTACCACCCCCAGGGGACCAAGCTATCAGTCCGGAACCCAGCAAAGCATCGAAAAATTTGAACTTTAGAGGAGTAGCAATACCACAGAATGACGTCACAGAGTTCCTGAAACACAGTAGTCTGCTGAAACAAAACGTAGAGAAACAAGAAGGTTATCGGCCTTTTAAACCGGTTGATAACGCTGTTGAAGACCATTTAATGGATCTGGCGAATTATGTTCACAAAAAATGCATGACAACTTAATCACAAAGAAAGATATAAAAAAATTAATACCAAGAGAGGTTAATTGAATGCTTACTACGCTCTCTGTAAACGACGAAGTTTACCAATCTGATCATTATTCCTCTACTATTTCCTATCTGTGACGTATCTCGTTTATAACTTTGCCCAGTCCTTTCTATACTCCTCAGCTATCGAGCACCAAAGACTTATTCGCTATTCATATTTAAACAGTAACAAGCTCAATACCTTAGACGTTCAAAACGAGACCTTGCATCTTTTGCTCATGTAAGAGCCGTGTGTGTATATATACCATGAAAATTGCCTTCGTGATGACGTTAGATTGTAAAGTAACTATGCCATTCCATAATTGATCAAGTAAGTGTTGAGATATTGAAATTAAATGTATAGTTAGTGGCAGGAAAGTCGATTCCATTTTTAATAAACTCCTACAGATTCTTTTCATAATGTCTCCCGTCCAATATTCTGTTAAACATTTAATCACGTCTGTACATAGTAAAAACACAGATAATCGCAAAAAACTGTCGTTGTTCCTATCTGCATTAGAGGAATGCAAGCAGATTCACAGTGAAAGTATTGTGATGTGTAAGCAATGTTTCCTTTTTTTTTTTTCTTTCTCGCCTTTGCGATACCGGTGCAATGTTCTATCAACTGATCTAACCAGCCAACTGCGAGCTGGATCACTTTAATATTCATTTCTTAATCCGCAGTTCACATACATGATTTTCATATGTTAACAGTCAAGCCAAAATAGTTGAAGCAAATTCCCACTGAAAAATCCAAAATGTATCAAATTCATTCTAATCTTGTTCTTCCAACGTAAGCCGAGGAAAGATTTTTTTTTTCGCAAAATGTACTACATATGAAATATTGATATCATGTGGAATGTTACACATTTTAAACAGCAAAAAGTGTCAATTTTTTTCTTTAAGTCACTCGAAGCACCTGCTACCGACACGCATGAGTTACCATGGATACCAACACTGTCCTTAGCTGCTTACAGTTTGGCCTAAACATCGTCAACATTTTGACTCATCATCGATTTTAAGCGTTGATGCTAAAATGTGGATACTTTTTAGGTGCTGGTGAAGGGAACCCTAAAGGAAAGCTATCCAGTATACATCTTCCCTTTATATAAGTACACGAATGACACGATTTGAAATATTGAAATTACTTTAGAGGAAAACAAACGTTTTAAATTTGTAGGTAGGTATACATTTATTCGATCGCATTACAATGTTCTATGTTCTTTCATAGGTAAGTATCAAAAATATTGTATCTTAATATTTTGTATCGCAAAAGAATTTAAGCGTTGGTTAAAAATTCTGGAAAGCATAAGAGGGCAGTAGTATAAATCTTTTCAAATAAAATTGTTGGCTATTTGACAAAGTACGGATGTAATTCAGACAACTGACATGATATCTAAACGAAATGTCGGAAAAATGTCGAACTTGTCAATGTCGGTTCTTCAAAACTCAAGCGATGAACGATATAACTCCATGTAAATTATTGAAAATATTATTTCACGCAAGCTCTTTTCGTGAGATTTTCAACACTGAACATTTCAGACATTGAGCAAAAAATTGTAAAACAAATGCTGCATGCAAATCTAAAATCGTCTTCGCGAGGGAAAGGACATTATTTCTCACGCGCTGAAGAAAGATTTGACCGTTGTATAAAGACGTACCAAAATAGTTATTAAAATTTGAATCTTTCATCCAGAAAAAATTATTCAACCGTGTCCTAGATTCGTACTCTAGGTCAGCAAATCTTAAATGTTATTTTCAGCTATTTATTTTGCAACTGACTGCCGCGAATTTTAAATTAACACCGAAGTACAATAATAAAAGAAATGTCTGGCGGTTAACAATTTTAATACAGCGATATATTTAACGGTCGACGAAGCCTTAAGCGTTATGTTTATCAACAAATTAATTTGGTGTAATTTCGAGAGATCAGAAATGCAAATATTACGTAACTTGCAGATTTGACATATAGGTTTAAAAATTGTTTTAACAATTTGAGAGTTCCGTTTGCAAACAAGAAACAAAGCATTTCAGTGTCATGAGCAAGAAAATATTAATAACAAGAGATTATAAAATCTCTAGTATTAAAAAATCCAACTGCGAAATATTTCCAAAGTTGTTTGTCAGGATTAAACAATATCTTGTAAATCTTGCACTGAGAATGACAATTGTGAAAAATGACAGTACTCTTGTCATTCTTGACAACTTGAAAATATGCAGTATATCCAAATTAAATTTTCAACGCCTGCGCCTCTTCGCCTCCATATGCAAACGAAAGTTGTGAGGTGAGTCAACACTGGCTGCAGATTCTAGTTATGTTTTGATACTAAATTGAAAGTTTTGTCCTATATAACAAGCAGTTCATGAAGTGGAATAGCTCAACAAAAAACACTTGATTCTTTCCATTGATTTGTCTTTCTTGCAGGTCGACTGTGCGCAGTTAATTTTTACATCGATCATAACTTTTGCAGTCCATATTCTGCAGCATAGGATTGCATGCATGCGCTGTTTTCTGTTGCCAATGTAGCGATTTTGAGGTATCATGACTCGAATCGTAAACTTTAAAAATAGAAAGAGGATGACTTCTCTGCATATTAACGAGGATAATGGATATTTCTCGCCGCGTTTCATAAAATAATCTGTTGACAAACAAAGCCTGATTCTTCAATCTGCCTCCACAGTGGAAATTGTGGGCCGTGTCAGCTCAGGGCGGGCTATAAATTGCCCGAATAAAACGCAATTTATACAATTCGGGCTACTGGAATGACCTGGAATGACGTATTCCTTTTGGGATCCGTCACATCACAATCAGATAGTAGAATAATATCTATGCTTTTTTGTGTCTTTGTAAATTGTAGATCAAAACTCATGATGTCACAAGTCGATGACAATGAAATGGACACGCGCTTTGAGGTTGGTTCAACCGTTTTTGCGTATGTTGATATCAGACCAAGAATGGCCGAAGACTTCCCGAAGACTTCCAGAGACGAACTACCATGAGATGTAGGGAGCGGCAACAATGTAAACTTTTAGGAATAAAGCTGACTAAGTAATTTAACTTATTATCTTATTTTTTAATAGGAGATGGCAGAGATTGTTGGAAAGGAAAGCAGCGCCGAAACTCAGATTAACTCATCAACGCTCGAACCTGACAAAGACGAAAAGATCAAGGCAAGTATACTAGAATTCCATCGAAATCTGTCAGTAGTGAGTTTTTGTTGCAAGTCAGCTCGCCCACATAACTGTGTATGCTGTGACGTTATGTACATTCTTCGATTTCTGAAATTTGCAGGATAACAAAGAGATTCAGGATAAAAGTGAAAGCAACCCAACGATAGAATCCACGACCGCCTCGGAACAAGTATGAGAAACGTTACTGTTGTTTAATGCTGTGCTCGCTGGGCAAGGCGTCAGCTCGTCGCTCTGATGAAGGACTAACGCTCGAAATGTCAGCTTTTAAACTGTTTACGGAGGCCAATTTACGTTATCGACTCAGTTAATAATACTAAATTACCCTGTTATACTCTCCCACCGAAGCAGGACCACAGTTTCTTTAGGAACTTACCCCTTTTTTCCATGAGGTATTCCTATAGATTCTGTCTATGATACCAAAAATTAAAATTAAAAAAGACTCAAAATTAATACTAAAGCCTTCTCGAGATTTCCCTCCAAAAGTCAATCAGAATTTTGTTTCTTTTCCCATTTTTTTTCACTCTTAAACTTATAGCAAAAGTTAAAATGAAATGTGAATAACCCTTAGGGTGCAGTGGACTCCTCAAACAAGGAAACTACCGATGAAAAGAAACAGGTAAGATCCTGAATAAAAAAAGAGCGAGCGCAGTGTTAGCTTCACCTATCACGGCATTATGGGTGATAGGTCATGTTTCTGATTCCTGAAAAGACGACGCAACTGCAAAGATTTGCAATACGCAAAATCACGAAAGAATGACTGCGAACAATATTACGGACCCGCTATTACTTATCGCCTGGAGTCGGAGGATTTTAACAGTAATATTTACCTAATCCACTCATAAGGCGCTCTAGCATTCTAATGATTCCTCCTCATTGGCAGTCAATCTTCCATAGTCCCCTGTAAGAGATTATCAGTGAGCCCATAGTACAAACTATGATTTGAAGCGGGCTTAAACCATGATGCAGCCGCGTGATTTGGCGCGAAAACTTATTTAGCGCAGCTTACCCTAGATCTGGGTTCAATGCACCAGTTTTAACCAATCAGATGCCGGAATTTACGATGAGGGAGGGAATCTTGCTTTTAGAAGACCTGACTGAGACACTCTCAGCTAAGGTGAATCAACTTTACTGCATATTTACCTATAGAGTTCCTTCCTTGACAAATATTTGAGCAGTAGTGAAACTGAAGATGATGTGGCAGAAAATAAAGAAGAGGAAGAAAAACAAGTAGAAAAGGTGCGTCCTACATTTCTGTTGTCTTAAAGTCAAACTGATGAGTGTCGTTAGCCGAGCTACGTAGCAAGCCATGGCATCATAAAGCATATTGTCCTGAAATGAACTGTATAAAAAAATAAAAAATAATATATTTTGACTAAAACAATGTTTGCAGAAAACCAGAGAAAAAAAAAAGGTGAAAAAGAAAACAAACACGCCCAAAAGCGAGAAGCAGTTTACTCCGCGAAAACCTTCTATGAAATGGAAAAACTTGAGGCTGGTTGTCGGTGATGACAGGTAAGAGGCAACAGACTTTGAGCCTGTTTATTTTTTTTGTGTTTGCAAGCCTTCCCTGATTATTCAACAATGTGGTTTGTCGCACTAGTCTTACTTTCCTCCAAGAAATGCTTAACACTTTCACCCCAAGATCTAATTAGTAATTCTCCTTACTATCTGCCATACAATTCCTATGATGTTAGTTTAGAGAATTTGGTCTTGGGTCAACTAACGATCGCCTAATTGATATTTCTCTTTATTCTCATCACTTGTCTGATTGATATTGTATTGATATTGTAAGGAGAAATTCTGTCTTGGTCACTCATGGGAGTAAAAGAGTTAAAGTACACCTGACAAAGACCTCATACGGAAGTCCATTTAAACCACGATCTTGAAGTCTTTTCTTCTCGAAGTTATCATTTGAACTTCAGGATCTTAAAATGTTTACCTGGGCCTATAATAGCCGCTGTGTCTTGTTTTTCCTAACTGTTGTAGTGATGAAGAGGTGAAAGAAACCAACAAGCCACAACCGAAATCAAAACAAAACCGCAAAGAAAGGTAAGAAAACGGATCGCACTTGTATTATAATTTGTCACCTTCACGAAATTGGTGGCATGATTGCGACTTTTTCTTTGTCGTTCACTCATCCATTTATTAACTCATTCAATTCATCGAGTTAAAAGTTCAGTCTACGTGTAAGAATTTTGAGAAAAATTGTTTTACTAGTTTATTATTCATTTGCTTTTATTGTAAGCCGTAGCAACAAGCAAAACTTGCAAAGCCGGCGGTCCACCTTGTTCAGAATTCCATCGGAGCCTGCGGAAAGTTCAACCGAGAGTGAAGATGAAGATGACCGGGTGCTAGACGGGAAAGTGGTGAGCATGTGCATTGAATAGCTGGTAATAGCAAGGGTGCAAGCGAACTAAAGAACGAACTAACGAATGAGCGAGCGAACGAGAAAACGAACGAGCGCACAAATAAGCGAGTGAGCGAACGAACGAACGATTGACGGAACGAACGAACGAGTGAGCGAGCGAACGAGAAAACAAATGATTGACGAAACGAACAAACGAGCGAGCGAGCTTACGAGAAAACGAACGTACGAACAAACAAATAAGCGAGCGAGCGAGCGAACGAACAAACAATTGACTGAAAGAACGAACGAATTAAAGAATGAGCGAGCGAGCGAGGGAGCGAACGATTGACGGAACGAACGAACGAATAAACGAATGAGCGAGTGAGCGAAGCAACGAATGAAAGAACAAATGAAAAAACGAAGGGAGGAAAGAACGCAAAAGAACTAACGAGTGAACGAATATATCACTTTTTTCATTGTGCGTTTATCATGGTTAATTGTTTTACATTGTTCTTTGTTTTACAGGGCGTAGCTGACCTTCCCTCAGAATATTGGCAAATACAAAGGCTGGTCAGGTTCCTCAAGGTGAGAGTATGCCATCTGACAAATGGAACTCACACTGATACAAAAAAAAAATGTTATCCAACTGATTCATAATTTCCCATAATCATTTTCCTGTTTTCAGAATGGTAACCAAGTCGCCACGGTCATCACATTGTGTGCTCTGACGGATTTCAACTTAACTCAAGAAATGACCCAAATGGCCATTCGCGATGTGAACGGATTGACAGTTCTTGTTAATATTCTCAGAACAGACCACGAGAATTGTCAGGTTTGAATTGATGCTGTTTCTTAATATTACCACCGATCAAAGAATAACAATCAACCACACGCATTACAATCTTGACGACTTTTGGACGGTGGATCTCTAGATCTCAACTAAACAAATAGAGGATTGCCCCCCCTCCCTGTTCACCCCACCCCGCCTAACCCCTCAGCAGAGGCGTGGGTGATTGGACGGGGAGAGATATGACAATTCAGATCGAAAGGAGTAGCTTCATTTACACGTGCTTCAAAGAAATGTACGAGCACTATTGGCCAATCAAACAGCAAACGGCACAGGATGGACTATGTAACATAATTTGGTTTTCTTGGAAGCAGAAATATGAATCATTATATTTCCAGAACTTCTTGATCGGTACATCGCCAATCGCCTTAGCTTAAGTAAAAAAGGGCGACACAATTGAAAATTTCAACTAAACCCGTCCCATTGACATTTAATTTATCCTCTGTTTTTTTAGATCGGTGCGTTGAAGGTTCTCCAACAGTTGACCATAAGTAGCATCTACAACAGGCGAGCTGTTATCAAAATGGGAGGTTAGTTTAACCCTTTGTACCCTATACCTACAACATGCATATTCTCCCTACCGCTCTCTATACATTTCCTAAGGTGCTGACAAGGAGAATTTGTTTAATACTCAAGAGCTTCTATAGTTGGTGATCATTCCCTTTATTCCTGTGACCTTTATGTGTGATTCAGGGGTGATATTGTTAGGAGAAATTAGATCCTGGTCACTCTTAGGGGTTAAGAGTTAAAGCCCTCAAAACCTTGTTACAATGCCCTTTGTCAATAAGACAGGTTCCATTTTAGAGACTTAAACAAAAAATTTCAGAAATTTTCAAATCTTTATCAAATCATTTTTTTTTGTGATATATTTCTTCGACCGGAGATTAGGAGTTGCCTCTTTCAACATTGTCGTTCTTTGCAGATGACAGGAAGGTTTTTCCACATATGAGTCTTATAAATGACCTCACTCCCAAACGAGTCTCAGTCAGCGTAGTGATAGCATTTTTTTTTTCATCTCATACTTGAAAAACAAAGTTTAACATCTCAATCAGAATGGATAATTTCATTTCAACGATGATCTTTCGTTTTGTAGGCGTTCAGATCCTGATCGATCTCATAACTGATGCTCCTAAGGAGGTGCAAAGTTTAGCGGCAGCTAACCTGGCTAACATGGCAAAATCCAGTGTAGGAAGAAATATTCTAAAAAAACATGGTGGATTACAAAAATTGGTGAGATCAGGAGCTGGGAAAATTTTTAGATCAAAGGGTCTTAAACCTTCCCAGTAAAAACTTTCCAGTGCTCTCTTCTTTTTGCTTTTCAAGGAAACGAAGTTACTCTCAAAGAGCTATGCTAAGCATCAGCTAGAAATTAAATCCAACATTACCATGTATATATTATATTTACCAGCATTTCGTTGGGTTTCCCCACACAACTTTCAGGGACCTGTATATATTTCCAAGGGACCATACACGGGCAGAAGTGTAGATTCGAGTCTTGGCCAAGTCACTGTGTTGTGTTCCTGGGCAAGTCACTTTCCCCAGTGCCTCTCTCCACTCTGGAGTATAAATGGGTACAGGGAACTGTTGAGGAAACCCAACAAAATACTGAGGAGGTAATCCACGTTGGACTGGCGTCTCATCCTGGGAGGGGTGCAATACTCCTGGTCGCTTCATACATTGGAGAGTGGATGACCTCCGGCTGAAAGCATCTTTGCAAATTTATAGATTCTAGAAAGTACGATCCAAGCGTACAACACGTGACCATTTATCCTCTAAGTCTCCTAAATGCGTACATTTCTTGTATTAGGTTGGTCTGCTAAACTACGAAGAACGACAACCTACTGGAAGGAAACTTTCTGGTAATGGGTCTCCAGGCCAACTTGGAGCGGACCTTGAAGTTGCACGTAATGCTGCCCTTGCGCTTTGGAGCTGCAGCAAGAGCACGCGCAGTAGGTCGGTTGTGTCAAGTGTGTTTGGTTGTAACTCTTACATAAGTAGCATAGGTGCACAAGAACTGCTAATAAAAACGACAGTATTTCTTATCAAAATGCGGTTCGTTTAGAAGAAATTTCGGCGATGTTTCTAACTTTTTCTAATCTTTTCCTTAGGTCAGCAATTTTCAATGCCGGAAGCGTACCAATGTTAGCCAGACTAATAACCATGGACAAAGACGAGTTCCTTGTTCCTATCGTAGGACTTGTTCAAGAATGTGCAGTGGAGGTGATATTCATTAAGACATAACATAGCTAAATAATATACATGTTATGTGCCCTATTGAATAATTCTTACTTTACTATCCACTCTTACAGCAACGTTTAATTGAAAATGATTCAAAATAACAGTGAAAACGCAACTTACTTTGTATCGAATGCGTCTCAATCAAAAAGTCGCTGATGGAATTGCTATAGTTGAATCAGATCTCTCATTATCATCACTTGTCATTGTCAGACTCGCTTCAGACAGGCTTTCTACAAAGAGAAAATGATAGCAGCGATCGTTCGTCGCTTGTTGACCGACAACGAAGAACTTCAGGGTTACTGCGCCAACGCCATATTCAAGGTAAGTTTTCACGCTCAACCCCATGGCTGCGATCCTTTTGGCCAGCGCTACCACTGATCAACGAATCGTGCCTAGAAACGATGACAGAGAGATAGAGACATTCAGAGTTTCAGACGAAGGCACTCCATTCTAGGTATTTCAAGTCATAAACCTAACTTACTACCTCTTCTCTTGTCTGTTTAACTTTTCCACAACTTCTCCGCAGTGTGCTGTCGACGAACAAACAAGGAAAGCTGTATATGACTGCGGGGGCCTGAACACGCTTGTTTCACTTCTTTCCCGCCATGATAATAAGAAGCTGCTGGCGGCCGTAACAGGTGCAATTTGGAAATGTGCTATCAGCGATTACAACGTTAAAAGGTAAGCATTTTGGCTTCGGTCACTTGGGTAGAAATTTGTTCTTCTGGGAACACAGCCCTGGGTTTTGTGTCTTCGTTTAGTAAATTGTCGTCTTGTAGGCCGGCATGACTCATTTGAAACCGCAAAACTAGCGGTTTAAAAACGGTTTAAGAAGGATCGAATTCCTAGAGCTTTTAACTCCAACTTTCGTAAGAGTACCTCTGTGGCGAAAAAAGCTGGAGGTCTTTTTTTTTGATCTAGGTTGATGGAGATGAAGGTATTAGAAATACTTGTTAGTCTACTTCAGAATGAAGAAGACGAAGAGGACCTCCCTGAACAAGTAAGTGTCAAAAATCTTTACTGGCTCGGTCAAAAAGAAATCCATAATTAATATGGCGATGCAGCATGAAATTTTCCTTTAGTGTTCGAGATTGTGTGGTAACAAACCGATTGATTTCAAGTTTTAAATATCAGTAATTTTTTTTTTTTTTTTAGGATCACGTTTGAGGTTACACGTTTAGGCACCTAACTTTCTTGATACCCTAAATTGTCTTGACGTTTGGGGTTCAGAGAGTTGTATGTAGAAATACACGTTGCTTGGTCATTGATACAATAAATATGCCCTAGACTGCCACTGCCCCTCCCCCCCCCCACCCACTTCCCTCAGTGGGAACTGATGATATCTTAAATTTTGCTCATTTTTCACTAAAGGTTCAACTCCATATTGTTGGAGCCATTGGAGAGATTGCCAAAGACCCTAAGGCTCCGCTGGAAATTTTACGATGCAAGGGATGTAAAACCTTAGTGGACATTCTGAATATCCCCAATGAAGAGCTAACTGGTACAGCGGCGAGAGCCATCGCAGCATGCGCTGCGAACAGCAGCTGCCGAGCGTAAGTAATAGCCATGTGCCTCCTTCTCAAAAGGAGACCGATTATTCTAACATGAGACCCGATTATTCTAATATGAACTCATTTATTTATGTCCGTATTTTCAGAGTTTTCAACAGATTGGAAGGCCTAAGGCTTCTGTGGTCTCTTATGAAATCAAGGAACAATCAAGTGAGCAGAATTTTCGTCTAGACCTATAATTGATTACAATTTATCTAGACATCCAGTTGAATTCCTGTTCATGATATGACTTATTTTCCTGTGGATTAGGTGGTCTCAGGTGGAGCATGGGCTGTATACAGACTGATGCAAGATACACCGGTATGAGAAAAATGCAATATCACCGTCTGACAACATAATGGAATGTATCCACGAAATATTTTACCGCAACCATTTTTTGACTCGTAGGAGGCCTGGGAAACCGCGCGATCATTTGTTGGAGGACTGGATCTGACTGTTCGCCTGCTCAAATCTGCCGATTTGGAGGTTATCTCAGTAAAAATATTCACTTAAACCATTTTACACGTGGTAGCTTACAAATTAGTTTTGCTCTTCCTTTGTTTATCATAGCTGACGAGCGACAGCGGAAAAAATTTCAGTCAGTAAAAATCACTCTAGACTACTCCAACTAAATGCATTGAAACGTTTTTAGGTCCTCACTAGCGCATGCGCAGTGATATCAGTTGTGGCATGTGATTGGGAGAACTTGGGAGTCATAACTGATTACGAGGTTGTCCCTCACCTGGCTAAACTCACGCATAAGGTAAGCCTTTAACTCAATACTATAGAACTAAGTTGCCATATAATTGCCGAGATGATTTGGGTACGAAGAGAGCCTACACACGCTCACCAGTTTGAAGGGGAATTATTTGTTTTGTTTACAGACTGACATCATTTTGAGGCGACATTTGGCTGAAGCTATTGCAATGTGCAGCAAATGGGGAAACAACGCAAAGCGATTCTCCCAAGAAGGAGCTGTAGAAAGAATGGTGGAATACCTTGGGTCACATGACATTATAGTACAGCGGTCGGCAATGCGGGCTCTCGAGCAGTTGGGCAAACATCCTGATAGCTGCATCACTATGCACCGTAGTGGGGTTGTCAAGGTAACGCAGAGGTGTTGGCTCACTCTAACGGCAGTTAGAAAATAGAGACGTTTAGCAGACGAGAATGACCGCTGCTGTACTTCATCAGTATTCATTCTCGTTCATCATTTTCATCACACTGCCCTTTTAAAAATGTTTTAATCTTCCCATGTTTTCAAGTTATTTTTTCGAAACTTAGAATAGCTTCGCGCCAAAATATTAATGATGATGATCATAACAAGTGATGATAATAATAATAACGATGATAATGGAAATAAATAGTATACCGTAAGGAGAGCCTCGTGCTCTCTTTTTCGTAGCTCCAAAGGGCTCAGAGTTCACCGTTCTGAAATTTTGATAAGAAAGGATACCTTCTCGTGGTTGTCATTGATGGCTTCCAATCCATATTTGGCTTTCAGTGTAATTATAGTTGACAGCAGCCAGTCAGACCGCTGATCAGTGTCAATCAATATTATGTTTTGTTCCTAGCTGTTGCTGGAAATGATAGGCTCAGAGGATGCAGCTTTACAAGAAGCTGCCGCGGGATGTCTGTTGAACATGCGACAACTTGCAATGGCCAACGAAAGAGCAAGATATCAGAAAGAAACGAATAACGATTTGGAAGTAGACACCGATTCCGTTCAACAGAATTAAACTTTTAAAAATAGTACTGAGTACTAAGGTGATTAAAGTGTGAATTATGAGGCACTCAGCAATAATGTCTCCTGTTATTTATGTAATATGTAGTTTCAATAAACACGAGTTTTCATTGCATGAAATTACGACTTTTTTGCTTCCTTGAAACGGGACTGAAGCGTGATGAGGGTGAAGTGCAGGTGAAATAAAATATTTCTCTGACCCACCGCTGTGTATGGAAGCCTATGTTTTCAACGATAAAAACGATCATCTCTTTGAAATAACACCTTTGCTCTTACTTTAATAGAGTGACATGGTATTGGTAAAGTCCGCTGTTCCATGTTCCTACTACTTCCAGTCCTGTTCTCATATTTCTAGTATGTATTTCCGGTTTTCTCCGAATCGAAAACAAAACTTGAGGAATACCCAACACGTCACTTCTCGGAAAAATGTTCAGTAGTAGGGAGCCAGCATTGCATTGAACGCAGATTTCATGTTCGATTCTTGCGAGTTTTTTAGAGGAACTTACTCTAGATAACATACAAGGCTTTATTGTGAGGTAAGTTAGCATGTCGAGAAGGATTGGGGTTCCCTGGATGCAGCTTAACATAAAAATTCCCGACGTGGTGTTGACGATGTTATTCGACTGCACTCTAAGATGGCGGGGTGAAGGAAATGAAATGTTTTAAGCCCTTATAAATGAATTGAAACTTTTGGATGCTATTCAAAACGTTTGGCAAGGATGAGTCGAAACGGTCAAATATACCTGAGCAAGTAAAGCTGGTAGGCTCAGACTTCAGCTTCTTCTCGATTAAGGGGGATGGGCTATGCTCAAATTCATTCGATCTTGTAATATTTTATCAGTGTAGTTATGCTTCACGCATATCTGTCAAACCCTCGGTTAATCGATGGCAAATGCCATTTACAATTCAGTTTTAATTGGTAATACTTAAATGGTCTGGATAGAAACAGATATGTAACGAATTTAAGAAATGAACGACATCTTTAAAATTAAAAAACATGTTTCGGCAGATCTTCTGTCATCTTCAGTTCGGAATGATACAAAGTACAAAGTTGAAGTTAAAGTGTGTAACAAAATGCTGATTGGGTAAAACAAACGATAATAACAGAACAATGTATGCAATTATAAGGAAAGTTTTAAATTAACACTAATGGGGGGTTATGTTTTTACAATTATTTTTGGGAGGGACATAACTTCCTGCTGGTTAAAAAAAATTGTTTTTTTCGTGGTGGGAGGGGGGCTGAGGCTGGGTGCAAAGGATGTGATAAATATATACCTATACTACTACCCCTTCTAACCAGCAATAAGTAATGTTTGTATAATTATTATATCTTCCCACTTTCTGGCCTGAATTCACCAGTTCTTATTTTTAGCTTGAAATGGTCTTAAATGTGATTGATTATTCAAGAAGAATGAACCTGGCACAATTAAAACTTCCAATCAATCAAAGGTTGACAACATTGAGAAAAAAATCACAGAGCTTTGACTGTGAGCTGCAAAATCCTCGACACTGAATGAATGAGGAAACAACAAATCTCAACAAAGTACTTCACTTGTAGCTTGTAAATTAGAAATTGTGTTCTTTGATATAACAACTAATGAAAAGTATCTAATATTTCCTTTATTCTATTTGACCAAGCTTATAATTCACCAATCATGCTGTTCTCATGATTTGTCAATCGGCAGTAGTTTTGTTAAACACAGACAACTGATTCTAGCATGTACAGTATGTGAGTCATATACCTTTCACATTGTGATATAAAAAGTATTAGCTTTTCCCAATGGCACAAAGAAAATTGGCAAATGAGTGACAAAATTATCTTCTTTTTATATCTTTTAGCTGAGTTAGTAAATGGAGTAAATTGATCTTGATCAATCAGCCTCAAGGGGACTTGATTACAAGGTACAATATTTTGACATGAATTAACTCTAATTTTGTGGTGTTATTTTTTAAATAAGTGAAAATGATGATGAAAAAAGAAGGTAGTGCCTTCCTCTGTGATTCTGTTATCAGAAACCATTCTAAAAAAGGAACCTGTTTATGACCCCCTAAAGGTTTGATGATTTTAGTTCCGTTATTTTGCATATGTATTGATTACAGTATCTTATTTTTTCATTAATTCATATGCATTGAAAGAAATATGTGGGCATAGCTTCATATTCATAACTATGTTAATAACTTAGTTTGCTAATAGCTTTGATCACTCTTTAGGCTGCCATGGCAACAGGCACAAGCAAAACCCCTATTTTAATTGTGCCAACGACACTTCCGGGACCTCCTGCCATACCCACAGTTCTCACCAGTCCCTCAGCGGTAGCAGCAGGCCCTGGTGGGTAGAATGACTTTCTTATTTACTTTTAATTAACACCTTCTGGGCCCTTGGGTGGCAGGTAGTTCTGTTTTCAGGAGAATTTTGACATTTTCTGTCTGGTAACTCAGAAAAAATATTATACCACTGACCCCTGGGGAGGTAGGGGGTTAATTGGGTCAATTTTTGCTGGGTTTGTGCCACTGGCCTCTCAGAACCCCTACTCCATTATTTTGCATTCTGTGGCCAGTTATAGACCCCAGTTTAGTGACTTTTGGGCAAATGCAATTTTGTGATTCCAACCAAAGGGTAAAGAATCATACTACTTTTGAATCCCTACTTACCGGAATTTTTTTTAGCCTCAAAATCCAGAAAATGTGCAACTCCATTTGTTGAAAGGACTAAGTGTAGCCTTAGAGAAAACAAACATGATGATTAATAATTGTGAACAAGATTACCCCTTTGGTGTAGAGTTATCGACAAAGAGTGACACCTGATTGCATACATCATCTGACAACAGCAAAAAACAACTTTTGTTGGCACCAGGATTACAAGTTATTATATAATTGTCTTTGTTTTAGCTTTTGTTTTTGCCAAGCTTCTTTAAGTAGCTTTTGTTACCTTTAGTCTTCTATTGTGAGCCAAACTTCTTCCCAATCTGATGAAGGATCAGTAGTGGAGTGTAAGAGTGCCTTCTGAAGGCACTGAAGTGCCTTCTGATTGACCCGCCTTGAATAGCAAATTTGCTATCTGCGGGTCAACATAATCTAAATTATTTTGTAAGAAAAAGAAAATAAAGTGTGTAAAGTGTGTGTAAAGTGAAGGATCTTGATATTAGTTTATATTTGGTGTTTCCTCCAACCACTACTCTTGTAACTCTATTGAAAATATAACACAATTATGATATGAACCCATCCAATGGCACATCCCCTTTAGCCTATTACTAGAAAGAACCCCCCCTTCCCTGATCACTGACTTCAGTGTTGTTTTGATCATGTTTTTCCTTGATCACAGTTAAATGAATTTGTAAGGAAAAAAATTGATGAAAATGTATCCTCGGCACATGGAAGTTTACATGATCAGTATGAATGGTTCTTACTTCTCAGTAATTATAAGCCCAAGCAAGAAAACAAACTGATGCCAGGTGCCAAATAAAGAGGAAAAGGAGGCCAATTCCTGCATGCCTAACCTCATATTTGAGCCTTCACTTCACATATGGCGAAGTTTAGGCAGAATGTTATTAATCCAACATCATTTCCAACATCATTTTCTGGATTTTTGCCCCATTCAATGGTGTAGTGTGGAGGCATGTTTAATACTTACCGTTTCCCTATTACAGTAAAAGTTGAATTATAGATGTATGTATTTGCTCGCTTGAAAAAAGACAAAGGAGTATTCATAGTCTATGAAATTGGCAACTTTCTCGAAACCAATGGTGAGATTTCCCCAAATGCTTCAATTGTAAACCTAAAATCTTAAAGTTCAATGTTAACCTACATTTCAAGTGAGATCTATTTCAGTCTGTGGCAAAAACTGTTGTTTTCTTTTATAATTTCTTACAGTCAGCAGCTTTGATTTGGGTGACAAACAAAAAAGATGGGTTGTGATTGGAATCACATTAAATAGGCTTCTATTACCAGTTCTCCGTGACTTTGCGGGCAAGGAACTTGCTAAACACTACACATCATTGAAGAGCTCCAGTGGAATAGATAAACAGGTTTATTCCACTCACATGAAGAAAGATGGTTCATTTGATTTAAACTATGGCAGTATCAACAACAACTGGGGAAGATTCAAGAGGAAAGTGCAACAATATGATTATAAAGTGGCTTCTGCTGAGAATCTGGCCAAACTTTACCTTGAACCACATATGGCCAAATTTACAGGTGAATGATTAGTTACGAAAATTGGCGGTAATTTCGCAATGTAATTGGGCGATTTGCCATCGTCGATAAGAGTACAAACAACGCTGCTTGCGTCAACGTGTCACGCAATGTCTTTACAAGCTGTCAAACATGGGTGACTTGGACATTTTGATATTGTGGTAAAAAACAAACTGATAGTGGTTAGGCGTGGTCAGTACTCTTATCGACAACGATATTCGTCATCACAGTCAAAATTTGTTGCTAAGAGTACAGACCACGCCAATGTTAAATCCCTAGTCGATCTTTTTGCTAAATATAACGTACAGTGGAATATAATGACAAGGAACAAATCTGGGAATATGTAATCGTTCCAGATCAGCCTGCAGTCTCTTACTGGCGCGTCAATCTCTGACACAGGTCGCTGGAAGTTATACACATGTCGAAAAGACTCTCGGCCCAACGAGACTCTGAAGTCAGTCAAGAGCCATACTTGCAACTTGGAAACTATCCTGACAGATCAGGATATCGTTTACACGGCTTTTTTAATGCTTTGACTCGATCTTCCTCTTCAGTTCACAAATTGATCATGGTAAAATCCCCTCTTCGGTTACGGCTTTATCTCGCTTTTTAGCCATGACATGTGAAGTCTGCTCAAGTTGTTGTGTAAAGTTAGGGTAACTTTGACAGCGGTTTGACAAGCAGGATCAGCTTCAGGCTTACGCAAGAGTGTAAAAAATAGTTAAATGAGCCTACTGAATAATGGCTGAATTTGACCTGAGATGGCATGAGCACTTAACGATGCAATTCAGCAGTTATCTTTTTAGATTAAGAAGACTTTCAGAAGGCTTCTACTGATAATGTATCTTGTAAACA